AAATGACACACTAAAAAATGTTTGTAACATCCTTAACAGTGGTTTTATATCATAAAATTGTAACTGAGTTTTAGTAGTTCTTCATATATTGTGGACATTAACTCTTTATCTGATATATGATTTGTAAATATCGTCTCCCATACCACATAATGTGAATTTTCACTCTCTTAATTGTCATGCTCATTCTTATACTTGTCACTAGCAAGGGGAAGGTATTACTAGTTTTAATAAATAACCACCATTCTCCTATCACTTTGACAACTGGGGGACCCATCTGCCTTCACTTGTTATTCACCTTAATTTTTATTGAGAGTAGAGTTTATCAAAGATATTTTGAAGGTTTTATTCAAATAGATAGATAGATAGATAGATAGATAGATAGATAGATAGATAGAGATAGATAGATAAATAGATGGCTGTCTGGTGTGAATGAAAGGAAATCAGACAGAGCCTTCAGTCACCTGGGTTCTTTTTAGAACTTCTAGAAACTATTAACTACATGATCTTTTTCAATCACTTTACTTTAAAAACTTTATGTGTAAAACCAAAGGGCAGGCCAGGCACCAATGACTCACTCCTGTAATCTTAGCTAGTTGGGAGGCTGAGATCAGGAGGATCATAGTTCAAGACCAGCCTGGAAAATAATTTAAGAGGCCTCCATCTCCAAAATAAGCACAACTTATTGAACTGAAGATATGGCTAAGTGGCAGAGTGCCTGCTTTGCAAGCACAAATCCCTGAGTTCAAACCCCAGTCCCACAAGAAAAAGGTGGCTTCATAGTTACAAACTAAATCATTATTATTGTTTAAAGTAGGGTTTATGAAAGTTTCTGAAGCTTAGCATTCAATTGCTGGGTAGATAGTTAAGGTCAGGAATGGATATGCATGGGTGCAGGTTTATAGATGAGAGTGGGGATGAATGAGGATTGTAGGTGAGAGTAGGCATGGCAGGTGTGTGTGTGTGTGTGTGTGTGTGTGTGTGTGTGTGTGTGTGTGTATTACAAGCAAGGGTAGATGTGGGTGGGTAAGGGCAAGGGTTGATGTGAGGAATGCAGGATTGTAAATGATAGTGATGTGAGTGGGTGAGGGCAGGTGTGTGTGTGGATGAATACTGGATTGCCGGTAATGGTAGGTGTGGGTAGGTGAGAGCAAGGTTGTATTGTGTGTGTAGGATTATATGTACCACAGAGAGTAGAGCAGAGTTGACAAGAGACAGGATAGAATCTATCAAAAACACATCTCCATTTTACGGATTTTATGTGTATATCTGTCTATATATATGATATAAAACCACTGTTAAGGATGTTACAAACATTTTTTAGTGTGTCATTTGGCTTTTAAGTTAATGGTAGAGTTTTGTTAATTAAAAAATGCTATTTATTTGTAATAGAACTTCTTTCCCTCTAATGTTTATTGTAAAAAAATTACTACAAGTTACACACAAAGAAAACTAAAGAAAAATGACTATAAACTCAACACCTACTGATAGCCTCTTTGGTTATTCAGGTATATAATCCAGGTTTGTAGTAGAACAGATATGCAATGATTCCTATATAAAGACCTAATGCTTTGATATCCTATTGATGAGAGGATAAACTGGTTACAGACTTCCTAGGAATTTGCAATAACTGTCAATAATTTAAAAACCTTGCCCCACACTGAATGAAAATAATTTCAACTCCAGGATACTCTACCCAGCAAAACTATCATTCAAAATAGATGAAGCAATAAAAGTCTTCCATGATAAGCAGAAACTAAAACAATATGTGACCACAAAGCCACCACTACCAAAGATTCTTCAAGGGATTTTGCACACAGAAAGTGAAACCAGACATAACCATGAAAGGGCAGGAAGCACCAAATTACAGGAAAAGAAAAAGCAAGAAAGTAGACAGTAACCTCAATTTAGGTACACACAATCAAACCTTCAAACAACTAAGACAACTAAATGACAGGAATCACCACATACTTATCAGTAATAACACTTAATGTTAATGGACTTAATTCCCTCATCAAAAGGCAGCATTTGACGAACTGGATTAAAAAGGAAGATCCAACAATTTGTTGCTTACAGGAGACCCATGTCACTGACAGAAATAAGTATAGGCTTAGGATGAAAGGCTGGAAGAAGATTTACCAAGCCAATGGCCCCCGAAAACAAGCAGGAGTAGCAATACCTATATCTGACAAAGTAGACCTCAAACCTACATTGATCAAATGAGATAAAGAAGGACATTCTATACTAATAAAAGGGGAAATAGACCAAAAGGAAATAACAATTGTCAGCCTATATGCACCCAATGCCAACACACCCAATTTCATCAAACATACCCTGAAGGACCTAAAAGCCTCTATTAACTCCAACACAGTTGTCATGGGAGACTTTAACACCCCATTAGCATCAATAGATAGGGCATCCAAACAAAAAATCAATACAGAAATCCTACATCTAAAATAAACCATAGATCAAATGGACCTAGTTGATGTCTACAGAACATTTCATCCAACTTCTACAAAATATACATTCTTCTCAGCAGCCCATGGAAGCTTCTCCAAAATAGATCATATCCTAGGGCACAAAGCAAGCCTTGGCAAATGTAAGAAAATAGAAATTATACCATGCATTCTGTCTGATCACAATCCAATAAAACTAGAACTCAACAACAAAAATAAAGACAAAAAACATGCAAACAGCTGGAAACTGAATAACTCATTGTTTAATGAACAATGGGTCATTGATGAAATAAAAGAGGAAATTAAAAAGTTCCTGGAAGTCAATGAAAATGAAAACACAACCTACAGGAACCTATAGGACACAGCAAAGGCAGTCCTGAGAGGAAAGTTTATAGCCATGAGTGCATATATTAAAAAGACTGAAAGATCCCAAATCAATGACCTAGATACACCTCAAACTCCTAGAAAAACAAGAACAAGCAAATCCAAAAACAAGAACAAGCAAATCCCAAAACAAATAGAAGAAGAGAAATAATAAAAATAAGAGCTGAAATCAATGGAATAGAAACCAAAAAAAACATACAAAGAATTAATGAAACAAAAGTTGGTTCTTTGAAAGAATGAACAAGAGGAAAGTACCTCAACATTATAAAAGCTATATATGACAAACCTACAGCCAGCATTATATGTAATGGAGAAAAACTGAAACCATTCCCTCTAAAATCAGGAACTAGACAAGGATGCCCACTATCTCCACTCCTATTCAACATGGTATTGGAATTCCTAGCCAGAGAAATTAGGCAAGAAGAAGGAATAAAAGGAATACAAATAGGTAAAGAAACTGTCAAAATATCCCTATTTGCAGATGACATGATCCTATACCTTAAAGACCCAAAAAACTCTACTCAGAAGCTCCTAGACACCATCAATAGCTACAGCAAGTAGCAGGATATAAAATCAACATAGAAAAATCATTAGCATTTCTATATACTAATAATGAACAAACTGAAAAAGAATATATGAAAACAATTCCATTTACAATAGCCTCAAAAAAAATCAAAT